CAGCTGCGTCTTCTAGCCCTGGGGATGGGCGTCTTCAGCAGGGTGACAGAAGCCCAAGCTTGGGTGTGTTTAGGGCAATGTGCTTCCCCAGGGCTCTTGCAGAGCAGCCCCTCTCAGTGACACGTGCAGCGGGGCTGCAGCCAAGGTTGTCAGGCAATGAGACCCCTCCATTGGTGACTGCCCGGCCAGGTCCTCGCCGCCTTCTGCTTGTCCCAGGTCCTGTGCACGTGTGGGAGCTCCTCTAAGCAGTGAAGGATACTGAAGCGAGGCCTTCCTAAGCCAGCTGCCATGCCTGGGGCAGCACCAGTCACATACTATGGGAGCAGAGGGGAATGCACACTGGCCGCATGTACCATGTCTGAGGGTGTAGCTGGTGCCATGATGGGGTGCCCAGCGTGACCTGCGTTGTTTGTGCGTTGCAGCAGCCTCTGTGGGGTGTGCCAGTAGTGTTGATGGATCAGTCCTGAGTGGGTTCTCGTTCCAGAGGTGTGCAAGCCCTTGACATAACAGGACTTGTGCTTCCCTCCGTGTGCAGGAGGGTCGGGGGGTACGAGGAGCCCGTGGAGGCCCAGGAGGCAGGGAGAGGGGAAGCTGACTGATTAGTGAAAGACTGGGTGGGAAGCCCATCTGAGCACGCCGGTCTGAGGCTCAGGGCCCAGCCGAGCCCTTGGGGGGAGTCTAGGGAACAGGGGGGTTGGCCATGGCTTAGGGACCTGCAGTTCAGTCCAATCTGGCACTTCACAGCTCTCACTTCTTCCTGTTCATGATCTGGCTGGAAATCCAGTTCATCCCATCCTGGAGGGAAGAGAGAGACATGAGCACAGCCCCAAGAGCATGGCAGGTCCTTGGGTCCTCCCCTGCCTCTGCAGAGCCTGCAGGCCCCCATCTCTCTACCTGCACTCCTTCCCCCGACAAGGCTGAGCAGGCCTGGATCTGCCATTCCCGGTCCCGGTAGGTGTGGAGGCTCAGCCCTTCCGCGATTTCGGCTGCGGGTGCTGCAGTCACCAGGTCCTGCTTGTTGGCAAACACCAGCAGCGGGACCCCCATGAGGGACTCCTCCTCGGTAAGCTCTGCTAGCTCCTGCCAAGAAAGAACCATCTCCCAGGGCTGCTGCCCACTGCCACCCCCCTCCACAGAGCTGCCAGCCACTTCCCGGGGTGGGCTGGGGCACCTCAGACCCCAAAGCACCTCACTCTCCTCTCTCTGGTGCTTTCATTGCAGTCAAAGAACCTGTGAGGTCTCAACATCCCGAGGGAGAGACACACACCCCTGAAGCTCCATCTGCCCCGAAGACAGCCTGGGAGCCACGTGCAGCGTTACCTGAAGGCTGAAGCGCTCCCGGCACTGAGAGCCTTGGGCAAAGGGCAGCTACAGGAGGCTGCTGTCAGCCCCATGCTGTCTGGCACACCCATGCCGCCGTCTGGTGCCGGTACAGCAGACTGGCACTCGAAGTCTCACCTTCCCCTCTCCAGCTTTGTTCCCAGGGTTCGTAACTCTGAATTCACTACCATAAACCTTTGCTTGCTCGTATCGCTCACCTGGTGCTGGGGAGGTGTGAGGAGGACATGAGGCTGGCAACCGAGGGGTCGCTCTCAACAGGGACAGAGTCACCCCAGTGTTGGTACCCCTGGGGCATCACACCCAGCTTGGGGCATGGGGTGGCTCTCTATACTGAGACCCCAATCATGAGCCCTTCCCAGTGTGACCCCCACAGCGGTGCTGCCCCATGGTAGAGAGCAGCCTCGCTCCCCGCTCCAGTCCTCAAAAAGCTGGTGTCAGCTGGGTCTGAGTCCCAGGACCCCACAGCCACCCCCTGCCCAGACTCCTCATACCTGCCCGGTCTCCTCGAAACGCTTCTGGTCTGCGCTGTCAATGACATAAATCTGCCATGGGGACAAAAGGGACAGTCAGCGGCTCCTCCTGCCTGGCTACACAGCCCTCTGCCTTCTGCGGGGGCCGCAGGGCTCTGCTGGGGTACAAGGCCCTGCACAGAGGGCACAGCTACCCACACACGGGGCTGCGGTGGGCTGCGGGCAGCCACCCCACTCACCAGCAGGTCTGTGCTGCCCAGATACTTCCTCCAATACGGGCGGATGGAGCGCTGCCCCCCGATATCCCAGACATTTAGCTTGAAGCCGTGCGAGTGGACGCTCTTTATGTTGAAGCCCTGTGCGGGGACACGAACCCTGGCATCACCCAAGGGGAGGGTAGGACCTGCCACCCT